TCCCAGAGGCAAGAAGTGTGGAGCTGTGCCCTTTCTCCTTTGATACCTGGGACAAAGAACGCCAGTTGCAGAAGGAAAAAAAAATAAAAGAAATGCAGAAAGGGGAGGTGCCCAAGTTCAGGGCACTTCCTGTGCCCCATTTTGACACTGTTAACCTGCCAGAGAAAAAGGTAAAGAATGTGACTCAAACTGAACCTTTCTCCCTGGAGACAGACAAGAGAGGCGCCTACAAGGCCGAGATATGGAAGCACCAGCTAGAGGAAGAACAGAAGCAGCAGAGGGAAGCAGCTTGCTTCAAGGCTCGTCCAAACACTATCATCTTTCAAGAGCCCTTTGTTCCCAAGAAAGAGAAAAAATCAGTTTCTGAGAACCCGTCTGGTTCTCTTGTTCAGGAACCTTTTCAGCTGGCTACAGAGAAGAGAGCCAAAGAGCGGCAGGAGCTGGAGAAGAAAATGGCTGAAATGGAGGCCTGGAAACTGCAGCAGTTGGAGGAAATCAGGCAGCAGGAAGAGGAGCAGCAGAAGGAGGAGCTAGCCAGGCTCCGGAAAGAACTGGTGCACAAGCAAATCCAATACGCAAGTACTCTACAGTGGAGTTGAAATCCAGTGAGCTGCCTCTGACTGTGCCAGTGTCTCCTAAATTCCCCAAGTCCAGACCACTTACTCTTTCGATGCCCCCACCGACTTTATCAATTTTTCATCTTTGGATGGTGAAGAAGATACTGAAAGACTCATGGTTTGATGAGAAGGCCAATTTGGAGAACAAGTTTATTTGGCAGAGTGGAATAGGAGAACTTTTTCAGGGGAAGACTTTGAGAAAGGCCAAACTTCAACAAGGCTGTGTCACACCCTTGAAGGCAGTTGATATTCTGCTGGCCGTGGTATATATAGCCAATATCATGAAGGCAAAGGCAAACAGCGAGAAAAAGGATGTGAGCTTGTTCCGAATTTGGAAATCTCTACTGTCAATCCAGTTGCTATTAAGCCTGGCACAGTGGCCATCCCTGCCATCAGTGCCCAGTACTTCATGTTCCAGGCAGCCCCAGCCCCGAAAATACTTGAAGATGGGAAGATCCACACAATGGAACACATGATCAGCCCCATTGCGGTGCAGCCGCCGCCGCCGCCGCCGCCATTCCTGTGGTATCCACACCACCACCTTTCCAGGGCCATCCAATAACTCCTGTGTACACCGTGGCACTGTAGAGTGAAAAATTATAGATACTGGGTATATAGAATTCTTTTTAGACATATAAAATATTCTTTAGGCTTTCTTTATAAAGACGTGGAGAAACCGAGACATGAAACAAGTTAAGAATGTGGACAGGCTAGTTACGGGAACTGGCTAGAATGCAAGTTAGCCAAGCTGAGAACCGCAGTGACAGGGCAAGGCCGAAGTAACAGGGCAGGACCACATTCTTGAGAAAGATAAGCGTACAGAGAGTTTTCACCTGATCCTGACTCACGTAGGTTGGGTTCCTTTGGAATTTCCACTATTTTTATGTTATACCACCCTAGCAACCCCCTCACCCCCTCCTCATTCCTTGGTTTGTGGTTTTTCCCCTTAAAAAACCCTCTCAAACTGGCTGTTGGGGTCAATTCAGCTCCTGCGTGGGCATACGAATTGACCTGCAGCTAGCTGTCAATACCCAAATAAACCTTGCTATTGCTCCGGTACATGGTGTCTCGAGCAGATTACTGGGTGGTCGTGATTTTCTGAGACTTGAGTGAGGGTCTCCCCTTTATGGAGGTCTTCAGCACCACATGTTCAGAGAATCCCCACCACCGGCATCTATGGGGCCAGCTACGTCCCCTTTGCTTCTCCTGCCACTGCCACAATCGCCACACTACAGAAGAACGCCGCGGCCGCTGTGTACGGGGGCTACACGAGATACATACCTCAGGCCTTCCCTGCTGCTCTCCAGGTGCCCATCCACGACGTCTACCAGACTTACTGAGACCGGGGACCAGAGCCGAGGCAAGCCACCAAACCCTGCTGAAGGAACACTTTATTATTTATGAAGAAAGAACATGCTGGTTTGGCATGAGTGCAAGACCTGCAAGTGAAGAAGAATGTTATTAAATAGCACACTGAAATATTTTATATCCATGAAGTTTTCACTCGCGTTTTTTTGAAAATGACTTTTCAATTTAGCAGGCCCGCGTTCACACATTTCTAAGAGACTTGCGATGCCTCACGCCTTAATACCATCTTTTCAAACATGTATGCTCCACTGGATTTGTACAGAGGTTTGGTTTTGTTTTTTAAGGATATATTTTCAGTATGAAGGTTATTTTCTTAACTTCTGCACTCCAGAGTTTTCTATTTTGTAGAAACTTTCAAAGTATATCAGCTATATATATGTGTATATCAAAAAAAAAAAGAAAGAAAAGAAAAAAGGAAAAAGCAGGCCCTCTCATGTAGGGAACTATTTTGAAAACTATATTCAATATTTAAAGACACAAACTGTAGTGCTCTGAAATACTACATGAAACATTATTTTATTTTTAAGGTGATGCTGGAAAGTGCAACTTTAAAATGAGAAAAAAAAAAGTCTCTACTCTTATTTCCACTGGCATTAAGGGTTGAAGATATTGCCGTGTATTCTCATGTTTTCTGGGTTTATGGGAGTTTTGGTTTTTTTTTTTTTTTTTAACAGTCTGTTCTTAAGCCAACATGGAAAAAGACTCCTCGCACCCAGAGTCCCAACACTGGAAAGCTCTGACCTGCCCTCAGTTCCTTGGGCTCACTCTGTGTGTCTCTATTGTTAAGTATGCTCCACCCCCACCCGTTTTCCTCCGCCTCCTTCCCTAGCTCCAGTGCAACTTTGAAGTTTGGCATATCTAAGAAAAATGGATAATTCGAATAGAGAAGATAACTGGGATTTTGTTGGGGTCTTTTTTATTTAATTTTGGTTTGTTTGGAGAGGTTTTATCTTCTATGTGTTTTCAGTAGCAGAATGCACATAAGGACAAGATTTTACCATGTTTGCCTAAGGCATCTTTGCATAGCTATTTAATTGTTCAGTATGAAACCTTACCTTTCTAATTCTTTGATTTTTTTTTTTTGTTTTGAAGTCTGAGTTTTTAGAGACCAAGAATGTATGTGATTATAGACAAGAACTTCAAGACTTGTCAAGGGGAAGTTAAGCTTCCCATGCCTTCTTATGTTTCCTACAGAATACCTGTGGTCATCAGGGATGTTGGAAGCACTGTGCTCTTTAACAGGGCTTCCCTCAGTTATTCTGCATTTGGTAGGTGAACACAGAGCATACACATCCAGGAGGGAGACCTTGTAAGAGTTTAAGGGTAGTTTGTATATGACTTCTGATGCTTGCTCATAGACCAAAGTTCATGGCCTGTAGTGTAAAGCAAAAATGCAGCCATTTTATTTCAATGTTACTAAAAGTGTTTGCTTATATTTTTTTTTGGAAGTAAATACACAGATGCAGGGTTTTGTGCCTGTTTTAAGGCTTTTCTTTGGCAGAGTGAATGTAAAATACAGTAAAATGATAATATCATCATCTCTTTTATGAATTACATCATCTTGCATCTTATTAAAAAGGCTCAGTCCACGATGTAAGGTGTGCAATGTGGTAACAGATACATGGTTGTATTTTATGGCATAACAGAACCCATCAAATCTTTCT